TGCCCACCTCTTCTCTCTACACGGAGTTTTTGTCTGACTTGAGCTTGCAGAGATTTTGTGCACACTGTCACAAGCACTGTGGATCGGGGAGTCAGGTAATTGACAGGAATTTCTAGGTTTTCTTTTCTGATGTCAGTTGGAGGAGATCATCTTATTAGCAAGTAGAGTCAAAAGCACAAGGACAACCAGAAGCAGTGACATTTGAATATATACTCTATGAATTGTGTGAATGAATAGTTATGGTGCCTGCTGCAGCACCTAAGATAATTGACTTCCTTGTTTTTTTCTTCATTTCCTCCTATAACAGCATGCATTTTATGTATTCATTTGCTCTGTTTTAAACTTTATCATTATCAAAATAATTAAGAAAAACTGTTTTGATGTGAGTAGCATTGCATGTACATTTAACATTTCTGTGAGTTAGTACTATCTTCATTATATCTAAATAGCATTGTCATTGGACTTATTGAATGAATTGTATGTTGGTCACTGAATGAAAATGTCAGTGAAGCAATTATAAATCTATCTTTTTTCTTGAAGTATTTGGAACAGTTTCTTTTCCTAACTACTGTACTTTCAAACTTTGTTATATTTAAAAATGTTAGTCTTTTTTACAATATTAATTTTGGGGGCTTTAGTCTTTTCATAAAGTTGTTATTTGTCAATGAATTCAAGCTCTGAGTTTTGAGGTTTTGATAAATATCACAGTTACATATTTGCAAAGCCCTGGCCCATCGAGTTGTGTGTTTATATCTTACATACCTAAAGAAACCTGACAGTGTTTCCCTCATCAAAGATTAACTGACGCAAATTTTAGGACAAAAATGTTGCGATGGAGGGGTCAAGGAGCTTTTAGCAGTTTTCTCCTTTAAAGGATGATTGACTCCAAGGAGAGTCAAAAACATTGAATAGGTGTGACATTCCTTATTCCTAGCTGATTTGTAGGCGTGAATAACTGTGATTTGAACTTTGAAAATGGTTCATAACAGCTATATAAATCTTTTTCTGTGTTGCTTTCTCTACCTCTCATATATCAATCACTTTTGCTCTTTCACTTTCTCACTCTATATATGTATATACACATATATATGTGTTTTTCTCTCACATATGTGTGTGTTTTTCAAATAAATATGTTGAGAGAAAGGAGAATATTTAGATTTGCATACATAAAAGCAAGATAATTGGGAGCTAGAGAGATGCTCAGCAGTTAAGAGCACTGTCTGCTTTTGCAGAAGACCAGAGCTCAAATCCCAGCACCCACATGGTGGCTAACAGCTATGCATAATTCCAGTTCCAGGGAATCTGATTCCCTCCTCTGTCCTCTGAGGGCACTGCAAAACACAGGTACACTTACATACATGCAACATAACACTCACACACAGAAAATAAAAATTAAAAAATTAAGTAAAGGTACTTATAGTATGGTAGATCATAGTTGCCAAAATATAATATTAGACATTAGAATTGAGGCATTTTCACTTTTTGAATTTCCTCTTTTGTGAGTATCATAAAGATAAATGTAGACTCCTAATCAATAAGTGATTTATAGGAAGCATTATTCTGTTATCAAGCTCCTTTTATCTAGAAAGTCCTTGACTGATATTTTTCCATGTCAGTGGCCTTATGTGGAAAATAAGCACTCCACCTTCAAAGTGTTAAGCTCTCATCCTCCAATGAATAAAATCTTGTACGTGACTGTCTATGGTAGTAGAAAATGAAGTTAAATGAATTTGATTGATGTGCCCTTTTCTGAGTGAAAGTCCAAACCTTGCCTACAAAAAATTCGTATCTCTGGAATTATGATGGTATGACTCTCAATTTGTACTGTTTATAGCAAGTCAAATCCTAAAATTCAGACAACCATCTAATTCTCAAGAATATGTCATAGGGGAATTAAAAGAAAGGGATTAAAATGGGTTTATTAAGTTAGGTGTCAATGGACTTTTGGGGTTGTGGTAACAATATTGCTGATAAACAAGTCAAATTAAGAAGAATCTTTTCTCAAAAAGTTCATCTTTTTGTTCAAACACAACACTTTTTGTCTTTATTAATTGCTTACCTTGGGTTTCGAGTTCCTTGGGGCACAATCTATATGCCTTATTCATTTCCAAATTCTCTCCAGGACCTCTTGAGCATGCATAACAGTTTATTCACTGATTCAAAACTGTATTGATCAAATTTCTACTACATACCATTCATTGTTCTTATTCAGAAAGGTAGAGCAACAAATCCAGAAGATAATGCCTACCCCTGTGGAGTAGTGAATGAAAAAAAAAATAAGCAAAATATAGAGCATGTTGTTTCAGTGATAAGTTCTTTGAAAAACAGAAAAGACAATGAGCAGTACCATCTGAGGTAGTTTTTCAATGTGAGCTTGCAAAGGCCCTGAGATCGGAACATGCCTGGTGTTTTTAGAAAGAAGGCTATTAGAGTACTGCTACAGTTCTTAAGCTGGGATAAAAACATGGAGAGATGAATTCATAGGAATTTTGTTTTTATTGTAAAGGAAGTAGGTAATCACTGCTGTTTCTGAGTATAGGAGAGCATGTATAACTTAAATATTAAAATCTCCACTTCGAATACAGTGAACAAAAATTCTATCAGATGACAATGATGTAAGTAGGGAACCACTTAGGAGAAAAAAATCACAATAATCTGAGTAAGAATTAACTTAATCTAATGTAGAGCAAGGAAGTGGAGAAGTATGTTTGAATCCTGAATTTATTTTAAAGATACTTTAACAGGAGTTACTAGCGGAATGAATCTAAGATACAAAAGAGGACAGGAATCAAAGATGACTTTAACTTCTTTGTCACATTGGGAGAAGTGGGGATCAGGAGTATAGTTTTGACCATACTACATTTGGAATACCTTATAGATAGCTATGTGTAGATACTGGGCAAAGAGATATTTAAGCCTGTGTCTCTAGAGAAAATCCATATTGAACCTACAAATTGAGAATTTAGGAGTATATTGACAGTATGTGCAGTCATTAAATGATCTTACATTCAAACATTGCTGAAACAACAGCATATATTCAATTATAATGTTGTTTCTCCTTCTCTCTTATGATGCTTATCTTTTCATTAATTCAAAGCAAATGAGGTGTCTTTATAGAACATTTACAGAATTTATAGATTTAGAAAATCAATAAATTTTAATGTGTATGGATCCAGAACAGTGTTAAGTATTACTGCAAATATGAGGCAAATAAGGTTCAAATCTGACTTTCAGGAATGTTAACATTTAGTTAAGGCAATAAGACCAGCTTTAAAAGACTATGTTATTTTGTTATTTTTTATTTTATATGTATCAGTGTTTTGCATGCATGTATGTAAGTGTATCACATGCATTCAATATGTGCAGAGGCCAGAAGAGGGTGTCAGAATCCTTGGACCTGGAGTTACAGATGGCTGTTTGCCACCATGTGTATGCTGGAAATTGAACCTGGGTCCTATGAAAGAACAAGTGTTCTTGACCTCTGAACTCTCTCTCCAGCCCCAAAGCTTCAATGTTTTAAACTTTGTTCATACTACAAAGTAGAATGCACCAGTCCATCCCTGAAACTTTACTGAAAGCTTTCTGCTTTCTATGTGCTTACAATAAATGCAATAGAAATTACAGTGAGATACTATACACAATATAAGCATAATCTACGTGTCTGCAGGTTTCCTTGAAAATACATATAGTAGAGCCTGATTTGGTGGTTCAGCCTAGTAATTTCACCACTTGGGAGGCTGGGGCAGGAGAAACATAAATTTGTGACCGGCTTGAGTTAAATAGCGTGACCCTGTGTCAAGAATATATTTTGAAGTCAGGTATAGTGGCTCATGCCTGTAATCCTGGTACTTGGGAGGCTGAAGCACAAATATCTTCACAAATCTGAGTCCATTCTGGGCTACATGGTTAGTTCCAGCCCATTTAGGGTACAGATTGAGGCCCTGTCTGAAAACTACAAGCAAACAAGCAAATCCAGTAAAGTGGTGACAAAAAATAAAGGAGTCAGTTTTACTGAAAAAGAAGGCATTCATATTTACTTGATTTTAAACTAGGTATTTAAGCGCTGTATGAAAGAAACAAATTGTAGATTTACAGCATCAGAAAGAAATGATGAGAAAGTAGATGTGAAAAAGGAAGGCTCTTCTCAATCTGTGGGTGTTAAGTAGGGCAGCTAATGTCTCTACTAGCCATAAGAGCATCAGCGGCCCCTACCTCACTGTAAGGAAGAGGGACTTAGTGATTTATCATAAAGCTTAGTATTGCTGTTTCTAAACCTGATTTAGATCCTGCTGTTCCTACCCCAGTATAGTCTATAGTCACAAGAAGTGTTGTTTACATCCTCTCAGTACTATGAAGAACAAAAATTTACCACCACCTAAGTCATTAAAAATGCTCTGCAGGCCTGAGGCTCAAAAGCCACAATAAGAACACAAAGAGCTCAGTCCCCCTCAAGGACACTTTATTTCACAAGCTCTGGTAGCTGCTTTTCTGTACTCAGAATCCATCCCTTCCTTAGAGCCCTTGTCTTAAATGTAATATTAAACAAGAGACAAGAATGTGTTCTTTGTGGATGCAGTTCTTTTTCCATTTTTCATTTCAAATGTGGGTTGTGGTAGGCTAATATTTACACTCCTGGCCACTTCCAAATCTGATAATATTTTCTAATGTAACCCATGACTTCAACGTTAAAGATGCAGCCACACAGCATAAGGTAGCGTTGCCCTTTATTTGAATTCTAATGCAAATGTTTTTGTAAGTTGTCTTTCTTTTTCTTTGAGCATTTTCTGATGCTACAACCTCCAGCCTCATCCTAAATGCTTGACAATGTATGCACGTAACACAGAGTGTTATTATTGCCTCCGGGCTAGCTTCATGTCATCTAGTTTGTCTTTTGCTTCACTCCTTTGATAGTATTACCAGGACCAATTGTGAATCTGCCAGATGTGTTTCCTTGCAAAAGGACAAATTTAAGAAGGCTTGTGTTTTTTGCTTTCTTTCAGGACTGCTTTCATTAAAGAACTTCCTTATTCCTTTTTCATGAAACTGAAATGGAGCAAACAGACTGCAAACCCTACCAGCCTCTTTCAAAAGTCAAGCATGAAATGGATCTAGCATATACCAGTTCTTCTGATGAGAGTGAAGATGGGAGAAAACCAAGACAGTCATTCAACTCCAGGGAAACTCTCCACGAATATAACCAAGAGCTGAGGATGAATTACAATAGCCAGAGCAGAAAGAGGAAAGAAGTAGAGAAATCTACTCAAGGTAAGTTTTATTGGATTTTTATAACTAATATAATTGTTCATTAGGGAATGCTTCTATACATACATATATATACATATATATGTAATGTGTATGTATGCACTTATTTCTTCCTGTTTACATATGCTGAGTGAATCTTTTCATATGCTAACCGAACTGAAGTTGTAGGTTACATAAGCCTTTTGCAGATTATGCATGAATTTAGATCCACAATCCTCTTATCAGAGCTTTTACAATTTCTCTAATCCTACAAATAACCATTGACAGACCAAAGGATAAATAATTTATATTAAGATGTAAAGTAAACAGCTAAGTGCTTTTCAAGCCATTGCCAATATGGGACAGAAATCTCAAATATTTGACTGCTGAAAAAATGCTATGCAGGTCAGTGAAGACCACCTAAAAGGGGGCCGATCAACAGAATGTAGAAACCTTTTGCATCATACGTCAAAGGAAAAGTAAGAATTTGGAGAGTGCCTTTTTAAAAGAAACACACAGATAAATTTTGGAGTATATTCTTTGGGCTGCCATGATGTAGCAATTATGGAAAGACACAAGACTTTCTAACACAAAACAAGAAGGTAGAAATATGATTTCCCTTTCTTTTCCAATGTTAGAAAGGCAGTATTAGACACAATTTTAACTATACATAAAAATATCGACATTGGCACAGATTATTTGTTAGGGATAAATCATGCTGAGGCTACTTTGAAATACATTTATTTATCTGGAATAGTGATCCCCTGACCCAGAAGAATCACCATTATCTGGAAACTCATTAAAGGGAATGAAATTCTCAGATCCACTTTAGAACCTGGATATGGGACCTAGGTATTTATATTTTAACACACACACCCCCAGTAATTCTAGCACCTGTATGATTTCTCTGATGTCCTTTACTCAAATGACCTGAATGGTCTCATATATCTTGGGAATTTCCACATTTATGTTTTCAGCCTTAGCCTCCTTCATAAATTATCATCCTAAATTTGCAATTACCTGATGGGCATTTCCAAATTAAGAGCACACCAATTACTCTAAATTGAATGTATCTAAAATGAAGGAAATCATTCTATCACACTCAATCCCAGGCCTCCTTACATTGCTAGAAATGGGATAATTATTCCCCTGCTTCTGCACGGCAGCCACTCAACTTTCTCTGTATAACACATTACTTCACGCAGAACTGATCTATACATCTTAAATCCATTCTTATCAAATCTATATTGCTTTTTTATTTCTGAGTTGCCTGTATCTTCCTGCATTTCTTTGCAGGCCTCTTGCTGTGTTATTGCTTATTTTGTGGCAGAGGGATTTGGAGGATTCTTGAGATAGAACTGAATGTATCCTGTGTGCTAAGTATCCATTCTACTATTAACTACATCTCTAGCTTCACATCCTTTCTTAGACTACCTTTCTTAGCTGCCTTCTTTTATTCCTATTCAACCGTCATCACAGCCTAATTTATAAGCATCCTTTATCCCTATCTCTCCTGCACCATCACTCCATCACCAAGCTGTTGCTTTGTTTAGATTATCTCTTCCTTCATGACGTTTAAGAAGATTTACTTGTATACCTTTCCTTTCCTCGACTGTACATCCAGTGAGGATGAAGATCAAGATCTGTTTATTGAGCTCTGGTTTTTTTTTCTATAAAACTTGTATAGACCTTATTTGCCCTATGATTGTTTGGCTTGTGAATGTGATTAATATACATTGCAAACTATTCTTTAAGTATTACTATGTCACATGTAGTATTACAAATCAGTCTTACTTTACTCTAATTATTACTGAACTCTTTCATTTATAAAAACCCTGAATTGGTTCAATATTTAAAATATACTAACGTTTAAATATAAATACAAATTTGTAATATTTACTATATCATTAATGTGCATAACTAGCCAATTTTTTAACTGTCTGTTCAAATGTTTTTCCAAATAAGATTTTCATCTAAAGATCATATAAATTTAGGCACAGTAAACCTCAATATTGGTAAATTTTATTTCTATGAATATATGAGGACTCTATTAATTTTTAAAGAATGTATAGTTCCCATTAAAATATTTCTCTGTGGGGCTGGAGAGATGATTCAGTGGTTAAGAGCACTAGCTGCTCTTGCAGCAGAGCTAGATTCAGTTCCCAGCACCCTCATGGCAGCTAACAACAAGTCCAGTTCCAGGGGATCTGATGCCTATTTGTGGCCTCAGTGTACATTGCATGACATGGGCACACTTGCACACATGTAAAACACAGACAGAAAATAAAAATAAATAAACAAAATTCCTCTATAAATTTGTCTGTACAAGAAAAGAATTCCTAGTCAAGAGTTGTAAGCTGTGGAACAGGGCTGTAAAATGGTTAATTTTGTAGGTTTAAATAAGAATGCACTTTAGTTATAGCTCTAGAATGATGAAAAACGTTATACTAAGTACATATAAAAAGATAACCACCCTCCAACTTTCTTTCTGTGCATTGTGATCAAAATAAATTTATAGTGATGGCAGTTTCTCTTCTATAATGCCATGCCATCTTCCTTTCTATAAAGTATTTTTAAGCAGCTAGCTTTTGTTTAGCACTTAATATGAATCAGATCCTCAGTCCTACATTAGAGATGAAAAATTTCTGCTTATCAAAAACTCATAAGTGGTAGATAAAATAACTTTACAAACAAATCACTATACTTTTATAAATCCTTTTGTAATAGTCTCCCCATCTGTGTGTTAACTTTCCTTGAGTATTAATTATATAACCATGGCCCAAAATTATTAAATGAAAATTTTTCAGATATAATTTACAAGATATCAATTACACACCATTTTAAAATTTTTATTTATTTATTTTACGTGTTTGAGTATTATGCCTGCAGGTATGTAAATGTACCCATGTCATGCAGTGCCCAGGGAAGCCGAAGAGAGTGTTGGATTCCCTGGAACCTGAGTTAACAGTTGTTAGATGCCATTTAGGTGCTGGAAAATTTGAACCCAGGTCTTCTATAAGAACTGTGCTCTTATCTGCTGAGATATCTCTTCAGACCCTCAATTACACACCGTCTGACACACCTAATTAAATCTCACTCCAACCCTCTTTGTTCCACCTAGGATGTGAATCACTGCTCTGACCAGGATATTTGTGGAATATATGCTACCTTCCCCTTAGTCGTTTTGTTGCTAGCTCAGTTATAAAATCACCTGATGGCATTGCAGGGCTTGTTTCCAACTGATTCTCAGTTAATAACGACTCCAAGGCATGATAGCGGTGGTGCTGCAATTTGCATATGCCACAGAAAAACCATGAAGTGTTTCCTTTAAATCAAAAGGTGAGAGTTCTTGACTTAAAAGGAAAAACTCATATGCTAAATCTGCTAAAAACCATAGTGAGAACAAATCTGTCTGTGACATTATGAAGTAGGGGAAAGAATTTCAGGCTAGTTTTGAAGCTACACCTAAAACTGAAACATAAGGACTTAGTTAAGGGAGAAAATGCACCAAATGTATGTGTAAAAGACATGAACAAAAAAATGCACTCTGACCAGTGGCAACATATTGATCTGGACAGTATTGAGCCTACAGGAACACTTCAATGGGGGATTTTCAGAAACAAGTAACACAAAACCATTTGTGGGGATACAGATTCCAGAATAGGTTTGGACCAAAAATCACAAAAATTGCGTGAGAGATTGCTTCTGCTGCTAAGAAGCTACTATTGTATTTCTAGCAGAACTGAAGAGACTAAAGAAAGTGTAGCACCCAAGTTTGCGTTTGTGGAGAAATGAAGCTCTCTGTCAGAAGATACTCAATAGAATCTATGTTCATAAAGTACAAGTGAAGCATCAAGGCATAAAGCACGGTAGGACACATTAACAGTTACTGTATGGCAACACTACAGGGGATATGATGAAGTCAGGCCAGAGTATGCATAGTAAAGAACTCTCTCTCTAAAATAAAAACAAACTCATCTGCCAGTGATCTGGCAACATAATTAAAAACTGTGGGGTACAGCCATCTTGTTTCTGAAATGGTTCTACAAATGTTTTATTCTTGAAGTGAAAACAGTATTTGGAAGGGAAGAATTGGAATATAAAGTCCTATTTACAGTATATCAGGCAACTGAACAGTTTAAATCTGTAAAGTACAAAACTGAAATGTCAAGATTGTATATTTACCTCAGTCCCTTGACCAGAATATAATTTGTCCCATCAAGGAAGCATATATGAACCTGGCATTTAGTCTGTTTGGCTTAGACTTTTTTTGTATATAAAAATCTTTCTTTGGTGGTGCTGGAAACCGACACCAGGGCCTTCCACATAGAAGGCATGCCGTCACCACTGAACTACATTCCTAGCTCTGGATCAACTTCTATTGGTAAGTCTAATCTGAACCCAGTGCAATCTTGGAAGTTATTGACTACTTCCAGTGCAGTAACATTCATCAAAGTTCAACAGAGTAATAAAGAACAGAATTTGAAAATGTCTGGTGCAAGAACTTATGATGTAATGAATTATTGTAAATTCTTCTTATTGATAGTTAAAATTTTTTAAAAATTGCTCCTAGTGAAGGACAAGTTATTGAAGAAGGATTTCTCAATATAGCTAGTGAAGAAGAGGAGAAAATATTAAGTACCTTTGAGAAGTGTTTACAAACAAGGAATTTTTTCTTGAAAACCCTCTTGAGTCATCTGCAGGGATGATGAAAAAGAAAAAACTGAAGAACCATTTATATGAGCATCATGAAAATTCATTAAAATTTTTTCAATTGCGCAGACATTTAAGGACAAAATTAGAGAATATGATCTTCAGCTGGAACACAGATTTAAAGTTATCTGTGCAATCATGAAAAGAATGTAATCACTACAGCAACACTGAAGAGTTAAGAACAGGACAACGACATGCATGGCATTAATTAGACTCAGTGGATTGAAAAATTAATTTATGTATTAAAAATTATGAAAGGAGGGCATTATAAAACCTATCACCACAAGTCTAGTCATAGCCTAATATTAATC